CCTGTTCTGAAATCTGGGGTTCTTATATCTTATCTAAAAAATGTTTGTTTTTTTCAGAAAAAGCCTTTTGCTTAAGCACCAATAGTGACATTTTAGAGTTCATTTTCCTTCCTGTGCTAAAACTTTTTGCAGAAGTCCAGGCTAAGTGGAAAATATACCCAAATTAAAAATTGTGGAGATTGCTAATAGAATTTGTGAGGAATTATTTACACTAATTGTTTATAACATAACACCATTCAACCACTAGTAAAATGTAGCAATCCAATAATCAACAGGAACCCTCTGTTGTAAAAGTTTACATCCCTTTGCAGACTTGAGTTGTTGTTGCTATCGGTACGTAAGGGACCCTGGAGAGGGAGATAGACTTTATATAGACCAGGGTAGACAACCTGATTCACTCCAAGGACACATTTCCCTTTAGACAATCTTTCTGGGGCCACGTGGCAATGGTGGCAGGGTCAGAGGGAAAAGTAGGTGGACCAACAAGCACAAATCTTAACTTTGTAGAGTAGGCTAGTTTCCTCACACTTACATATACCTCCATCTTAGGCATACAAGACTCATTATCAGAGTTCCAGGACACATTCCAGCCAGGCAAAAACACGAGAGTGGGCAGGGAGGGAGTCCCAAGGAATTCCATAGAATTTTAGAGTTGGAAGGCACCCTGAAGATCATCTGATCCAGCCCCCTGCGATGCAGGAATATGCAGCTGTCCCATATGGGGACAGCCTGCAACCATGGCATTATTAGCACCACACTCTAACCAATTGAGCTATTCAGGTTGATGTGTGGAGGGCTTCCTTCAGCATTTGACCCTTTCAATTCCTGGATCCAGCAAGCGTTGAAGTCTAAGGAAAGATTCAAATTGTTGAGATAACCAGACAAGCTTCCTTATAATGACCCTCTAAATATGGGTCATTAAGGTAACAAAGGAAATTAGGCTCTGTGCCAGACACAAAATGTGTGGGTCCCACTCCCTCAACTCACTGGTACAGTGGTACCTCGGGTTACAGACGCTTCAGGTTACAGATTCCACTAACTCAGAAATAGTACCTCGGGTTAAGAACTTTGCTTCAGGATGAGAACAGAAATTGTGCGGCGGGGCAGCAGCAGCTGGAGGTCCCATTAGCTAAAGTGGTACCTCAGGTTAAGAACAGTTTCAGGTTAAGAACGGACCTCTGGAACGAATTAAGTATGTAACCAGAGGTACCACTGTAGTTAGTTAGTCTCCTAATGTTCCTCAACAGGGTTTCTTTTCTATATGTTTAATCATTCTAGCTTTAAGAATGTTTTCCATCAATTTCCATGAGAAATAAGCTACTCAGGATATGACTTTGTTGCCCTGCTTTGATGTAGAGAAGATTAAGCATTTATTTTTCTTTTAATTTATAAACTAATATACTTCTGAGTTCCTGGGGAGGGAGACATGTATATAGAAACCACAATCTTATTTTTGGGGTGGCGCTGTTTCACGTCCAAACTGATTGGGATTAAACCACCTAAGTTTAGCATTACAGCAAACTCAATTACATCTGTCCACACTGTGTTGCTTTCAGTGGAAATGCACATCCACATTTTAGCATTAGTCATGTAATAACTTCTAAGAACATGACAAGAGTTGAATCCAGGGTGACAGGGTGTTTCTTCCAGGAACACACACACACACACACACACACACACACACACACGTTTATAATTTAGAAATAAATTAATCTTGAGTAATGTTTCCATTTTTAAAAGATCAAAAATAGCCCTGATAAAAGGATTCCTGGGTCTTCTATTGAGATTTTTCCAGTGCAACCTCTTTCTACATAATAGCAACCTTTAATCCAGACCCCTCATTTTCCTTCCTCTCAGTTATAGTGCTTGTCAACTTGCATTACAGATGAATAACAGAGAAACATAAAGACATACCCTTGGGTAGAACACTTGCTCAGCTTTGCAGGATGGGAAAGCTTCATCATACAAAATAATTACAGTAGTAAGTGATAATAACTGTAACATTTTACAATCCTGACTGAGCACCATGGGGTATCTTTTAAGAAAGAAACAATGAACACAGTAGAACTCTAATAATGCCAATTTAAAACAGAGAAACAAGAACTATGTGAATTGGTCAAAATTTCTCTGAAGACATCATCCCTTCTGGATAAACACTGCCCAATTCCAGAAACGTCGTGCAGTTTACAGACACAGAAGTGCAATTACTGCTAACTATAATTTATATCAAGTGAAGAGAACCCTTTCCAGCCCAAGAGCCTTCTTGGGGTCATGTGCTGTTGCTAGACCAGGCCAGAGGCAAAGGTGAGCAGAAAAGTTGATGTGAACTTTTATCATTGTACAATAGGTTATCTATCCCTCTAGCAAGTAGCATTGTCAGGGTTCAAGGATGCATTCCAGCCAGGCAAAAGCACCAAAGGAGGGCCCCAAACAGGTCTGCTAAGGAGTGTGGCAAGGAAGAAGTTATGAGCTGGGGAGAGTCCCAGGGGTCAGAAACAGAAGCCTGGGGTCCCCACTACCGTAGTCTCATTGCTGAGCAAATACATGCAGAGCTTAGTGGAGTGGGAGGCCAGCCAACCACAAGACTCTCTGATGTGTACTTGCCTGAACGCAGAGTCAGCATCCGAAGTTGGGTCCAGTCCTAGGGTCGAGTAAACTGCAATCCATGTGGTCAAACAGGACCAGGGGTCAGGGAATCTGATGATCAGGCGGCCAAGACAAGCAGGAAACACCAAGGTAGGGCCAGAAACTACGAGCATTCTTACCAGCATCTACTGCTGGAAGCTGTGCTTAAGATGGCTGAAGCAAGATGGTTCTCATCAGTGTCATCTTCTCTGTGTCCTTGAAGGCTGATCAGCTGCAGGTGGAGTCACTCCGTCTTCTCCCCTTTCAGGCTGCTGTTCCGCAGGCCAAGCTGACTCCTGGCCCATGACACCCCATCCCCGGTTTATGCAAATAAGCCAGAATTATGATTTGAAGCTTGCTTATTAACAAACCATAGTTAAAGCTAACCACAATTTGTCAAGGCTCAAGCATAACAAACCATGGTTAACTGAAAATGGAAGCAAATCCTTCCACAATCCTTTGCTACAGCTTTGCCAGTAGCGAAGGCCTAGCAGCAAACAAGTAGGCCCCCCTTCCTCAACTTGATGATAGTTAGTTAAAAGACAAAGGTCAGAGCTGAGTTGTGTGTGTAAGCTAGAAGCTGGTGGAAGAAGGCTGAAGCCTGCCAGGTAGAGGAATGCCTGATTTCTGCTTGCATACAAGGCTGTGACTATGGGGAAGCAATACCTTCTTGGAGTGTTAATGCTGTGAGCCCCTCCATCGTAGACTCAAATTGTATATATGTATGAATAAACCGTTTGCCATAAAGACACGACAGTCTTCACTGTACCTCATTCGAAGGAAACGTGAACCCTGAGTAAGTGCCTGGAACTCCTGGAATCTCACACTGCTCAGAGAGTGGGGTAGCGTGCAACAATATGTAACACTAAGCTGTTTATTTACTATCTTGCATTCCAGGCAAAGATTGTCTCCCTAAGCAGCTCACGTCAAAAAGAAAAAACATAGACAGGCACTGCCCTGAGGCTTATAAACTAGAAAGTGAAGACACAAGGAAAAGGGGGTTGAGGTGAATGGTGCAGGAGGGAGATCAGTTTGACTGTGCCAGAACAAAATAAACTGCAAAAAAAATAAATAAAGGCATTTATATCCATGTGGATCTTGCTGCTTGTCTTGCTTGTACAGTGGTACCTCGGGTTACATACGCTTCAGGTTACAGTCTCCCCTAACCCAGAAATAGTACCTCAGGTTAAGAACTTTGCTTCAGGATGAGAACAGAAATCGCACTGCGGCAGCGGGAGGCCCCATTAGCTAAAGTGGTGCTCCAGGTTAAGAACAGTTTCAGGTTAAGAACAGACCTCTGGAACGAATTAAGTACGTAACCAGAGGTACCACTGTATAGAGGTGCTGAAACTGACCCAGCAATCCTTGTTCCTCTGTGTAGTGGCAAAGGCTTCCTCTCACTTCTGAAGCCCAAGGGCAAGTGGTAGTTGGAGCAAAATGTGGCAGGGGGTGGGGAGAAATGAGCTACCTGCAGCTCCTCATTCTCATCCTCTGGCAGATGTGTGGGGCTAGGTTGGTCTTCTTTTTGACAAGATGTTCATCCTAGAAGGCAGGGGGTGCAACCTGCCAGTGACCTTTCTCCCCACAAGATAGTAGAGACCAGAGTGTTTCCCCAGTTCAAACTATGATTTAGTGTTACATGAGAACGAAGCCACAATCTCACTTTGTGAAGCAATCTTCATGGTGTTGTTTCTTTTTTTAAGTAAAACTTTAAAAGTCAAGGAATAGCAGTAGTACTACTATTAGCACTACCATTCAAGGACACTGAATAGGATTTCAAATACAATAGTACATAGAAAATATCTCAATATAGTAGTTTTGAATTAAATCCAGAATTGTACTGATCCTATATTCTTATCTAAAGTAAAGCCTTCCAGAGATCTTTACAATCAATTATTATTCACCAATTATTTAGTTGACTGCCTATCAGTGAAGTCACACTTAAGCTTAAAATAGGGTTAGTTTGAAGTGGATTATACTAGGAAAATGGGACACGGGTGGCGCTGTGGGTTAAAGCCTCAGCGCCTAGGGCTTGCCAATCGAAAGGTCGGTGGTTCGAATACCCGCGGCGGGGTGCGCTCCCGTCGTTCGGTCCCAGCGCCTGCCAACCTAGCAGTTCGAAAGCACCCCCGGGTGCAAGTAGATAAATAGGGACCGCTTACTAGCGGGAAGGTAAACGGCGTTTCCGTGTGCGGCTCTGGCTCGCCAGAGCAGCGATGTCACGCTGGCCACGTGACCCGGAAGTGTCTCCGGACAGCGCTGGCTCCCGGCCTATAGAGTGAGATGAGCGCACAACCCTAGAGTCTGTCAAGACTGGCCTGTACAGGCAGGGGTACCTTTACCTTTACCTTTATACTAGGAAAATACATAAACTTCCACAAGCCATATAAGCCAGTGGAAAATAGTTCCCTACTATATTTTGGAGAGGTTCTGAACTGCATAACAGATTAAATGTTTATATTCAGGGGACTATAGGGAATGATAGCTACATCTGGTTTATGAACCCTGTTTCTGTTGAAATGATTTTCAAACTTCTGTAGCAGCTGTTTGCAAGCTTTCTAACAGAATTCATCTGTATTTGTCTCACGGGGTGTTGTGCATCGACAATGCATCTACAACGCTTTCTTGCCTTTTCTGTATAAAGCCGGCTGTATCAGTTGACAACAGGTCTGTGCGCTTTTCCTTTCTAATGAAGTAAAATTGCCTAGAACATGGTTTCAGAGTATAGTGCTAAAGAGAGCCTTTCTAAATTTTTGAACACTATTTCTTAGTGTTGCAGATGCTTTGAATGTCTGCTCTTGGGCAACATTCAAGCTGAATATAAACTATTAGTGGTGAAATTCCACCCTGATATAACATGTTGCTTTAGTGCTAATTTTGTTGCCATAGTTACCAAGTTCCTTTTGATACATTTAGCAATGCCAAACATTTTGCTTGTTGAGTTCTCCTATCAGAACATCTCAGTTGACTCATGTTGGAGAATTATCTGGGTGTTCTAAGAATTATGCAATCTCCCATCATGATGTACCAGTATCTTTTCCATCATGGAGAGTGAATCTGAACTTTCTTCCCAAATGTTCTTTGGGAAACACACAATGGCAAGACCTTTGATGTGCCTATTGATGAAGATAGGAACATAGGAAGCTACCCAGGAGTTGGGTAAGTTAATATATGAGAGCCATCTTCAAATATCTAAAGGGCTGTCACAAATATATGGACCTGTTGCTCCAAAGTAGGACTCCCGACTATTGGGTTCAAATTTAAAGATCAGAAGGAAGGGCATTTTGACAAAACATTGGGAAAAATGACCTGGTGATACAAGCTGTTCAACAATGGAACAGACTTTATTGGAAGATAAGAGTATCCTTTCATAGAATTGTAGAGTTGGAAGGGACCCCAAGTGTCATGTAGTCCTACCCCCTGCAATGCAGGAATCTCAACTAAGGTATCCATGACAGATGGTGACCCAATCTCTGCTTAAAATTTTCCAATGAAGAGGAGTCCTTCGTTAGACATTTTTAAGTAGATACAGGGTTTCTTGCACCTGGAGGCGGCTGTCCTAGTTGACCTCTTAAGTGCCTTTCAATTCTACAAAAAAGCACAAGGCAGGCTCAATAGCACTTTTCAGGGTCATGTAAGAGTCAATACAACATAGTATGCTCGTAAAACAGGAGTAGAATTCACCTGCAAGTAATGGATCTATGAACTCCGTTTACTGGAAATACAGTGGTACCTTGGGTTAAGAACTTAATTCATTCTGGAGGTCCGTTCTGAAACTGTTCTTAACCTGAGGTACCACTTTAGCTAATGGCGCCTCCTGCTGCCACTGCGCCACACAATTTCTGTTCTCATCCTGAAGCAAAGTTCTTAACCTGAAGTACTACCGGTATTTCTGGGTTAGCGGCGTCTGTAACCTGAAGCATCTGTAACCTGAAGCATCTGTAACCCAAGGCACCACTGTATAGGATACAAGAATAAATACTACAAGGAAGTGAGAGTTGGACCATAAAGAAGGCTGATCACCGAAGAACTGATGCTTTTGAATTATGGTGCCGGAGGAGACTCTTGAGAGTCCCATGGACTGCAAGAAGATCAAACCTATCGCCCTGAGTGCTCACTGGAAGGACAGATCCTGAAGCTGAGCCTCCAATACTTTGGCCATCTCATGAGAAGAGAAAACTCCCTGGAAAACACCCTGATGTTGGGAGAGATTGAGGGCACAAGGAGAAGGGGACGACAGAGGACGAGATGGTTGGACAGTGTTCTCGAAGCTACCAGCATGAGTTTGACCAAACTGCGGGAGGCAGTGGAAGACAGGAGTGCCTGGCATGCTCTGGTCCATGGGGTCACGAAGAGTCGGACACGACTAAATGACTAAACAACAACAAATAAATACTACATGTAGCCTCTAAGTGCAATTCCATAGCAAACCAAAATTAAGGTGGGAACAGGAAATATCAGTAGCTACCACAAACTAATTGCTAAAACACTAGTTTTGTAGTGGAAATGTGACACTGGCATCTACATGCACATGCACCTTCTAGTTCAAAAAGGACAAAGGAAGCTCCTTGTGCACCATCCTGGCTGGATCAGGACACTTAGGCATAGAGTGTGAGTACATTAAGCATGATTTTACAGCAATTTCAGACACTTTTATGTGCCATAAATCTTTGTGCTTAACATGCTGATTAATTTTTACCCCTTTTTACTGTAAAAAATATTTTGAATACCAGGTTGTTGTTGTTTTTTGAAATTTGTATCATTAGGAAATGCACCCCTTTGCAATAACTTTTTTAAAAATAGCTGGAAAACACTCATAAAATAAGGTTTTAAGTATTTAGATTGCATGGTCATTATATCCCAACATAAGCCATCTTATCGGTATTGTGCCCCCATCCACATCCACAATTGACTGAACTACTGTGAGAGATTTTACAGAGAGGGTTTTGTGATACGTTAAGCTGAAAAAGAAGATCCACAAATGTGAAATTATACTATTGTGTATATAGAAAAAGAATTAAATTAATAGAAACCTGTTGTTATAACTCAGTTGGTATATCCTGTTTACTTATAAAATGCAGCTATGGTTTTATTGTAGCTGGCAATCCTTTATGGTGATTAGTGCAGAGGGATGTCAATGCTGCAGAGATTCTAATGGCAAACAGCTGGAACAGCTGGTCAATTCGGATTTTGCCAATTTGTTTGATCTTGTGGGAGATATCTTGCAAGTTTGAGTGACCTTGCAGCTGAGCTGCTATTGCAGCAAGAATATGTCAGCCTTACTTTCACTGAGTTTGATTTTTAGCTCAGCTGGCTGCTCAAAGCAAATTAATAATTGCAATAACCTGCTTTTGTATAAATAGTAGAGGATGGTTACTTTTTAAAAATCTCACCAGGATCAAGTTCATCTGAGCACTATAAATCACTCTAGGGGAATGATAAAAATGTCCATATCACTGCAGAATGGATTTCCTTAATATTCTATGAAAATGGCTGGGAACAAAGCAAGCATGTTATTCTTCATAACAGGACTTGGCTTTATGCACATACAAATCTAATTGATGAATTAATAAAGTGATTAACGGTGCAATCCTGCCTACCCAAAAGTAAATCCTACCCAAAGTAAATGAGACATACCTATGAGCAAGTGTCTGAAGTAAATGACTAAAGTAATAGGGTTTTAGTCTTAAACTTATGGGCCAATAGACTGATATTTCTTTAATCAAGCAGCTCGTATTTAAATTTAGAAGAACACAGGCATCTAAGCTTTTGTGTTTATGTAGAAATTGTGTGTTTAGATGATGTTGTGTTTAGGTGGAAAAGGAACTAATACAAACATCCTGAGAAGCAGGGGTAGGGTGAGTGTGAGTGTGGGGAAAGCATATTCATAATAAATTTCTTACTGTAATGTTTAACTTCCCTTTCTGGCTACTAGCAGAGTTGAGGAAAGGAACTATACGGAGAGAATAGGGGTCAAGAGGTTAATGTCTACCTGAAAGTTACACCTTGACTTCTTATCCTTCCAAACTGTGTGTGGGCACAGAAAGGCTGCCCTTTTTTCTGGCAGGGCTCTAGTGTTTTCAACAACTGCGTAACAAGCTTGAAAACACTGGATGCTAGCCAGAAGCTTCTCCTGCTACTACATTTCCAAGCCAGGAAAAATAGCTTCAGTTGTTTAATTTGTGCCTGCCCCATATTTATTTTAAAAACTTGTACCCTGCCCTTCATCACAAGACACCAGGGTGGGTTACAACAATAAATACTTTGAACAATAAACATAAAACACAGTAAAATGTCAGCAATCTGCCAATTTCCTCACATACAGACGAGATCCTCATTGTTAAAAGGATTGAAGAAAAATGCAGGTATTTTGCTGGCATCTAAAGCTAAATAATGTTAGTGTCAGCTGAACCTCCAAGGGCAGTTTGTTCTACAAGCAGGATGCTATTTCAGACTTCGCTCAACACTGCAAATATCAGCAGGCAGTGCCTAGGTTGTTGTTTGTTCCCTTATTGCCTCCAGCCACTTGAAGGGATGTAACTCAGCACTGAAAAACATGCATGCAAAAGGTCCCATGTTCAATTCCTGGTGTCCCCAGGTAAGGCAGGGAAAGATTCCTGCCTAAATCCCTGGAGAGCTGCAAGCCTGTCCGTGCAAACAATGCTAAGCCACTGACTCTGAATAAGGAAGGCAGCTTGCTATGTTCCAGGCCTCTGCACTCTTTCATCTTACTCAGATGACAAGGAGAAACGGAGCTGGGTGTCATCAGCGCACTGGAAACACCTTGTCCCAAATTCCCTGGCGACCACTTCCAGCTACTACATAGTGATGTCAATTCTAAAACAAAGGACTCCTGTTAAGAAGGAAAAGTAGACGGCCTTTCTGAGCTGGGTGTGGAAAATATTATTTGCATGCTCGACACCAGGCCTGAACCTTGGCACTCGAAAGGGGTTCTGGAGCTGAACGTTTGCTAAGCCCTGCCGCGTGCCCTGCGAGTATCTGAAGGCATTTTATGATCGCTCCATGCTAATCTCTCCGTCCAGAAAGCAACGCTGGAGAGCCTAGGAGCGCCCTGAGCCGTCCACTTAACTTCGCCCAGCGTTATTTTGTGTGTTTGTTTCGCGGCTATATCAGAGTCGTGGACGCTGCAGTCTCCCTCTCTCCAGCCGTGGAAATCTGTGCCTGTCTTACTCCTCTCGGCTTCCTTTTTTCACGCTCCCTTCGGCCAGTTCGACTGGCTGGAGATAAACCCCCTGGAGGCGGTGGGGGAGGAGAGCGAGAGAGAGAGAGCGGGAGCTCAGCTCCGTTCGCGCAGCGAGAGAGGGAGCGAGGCGGAAGCGCGCGCCGTCCCAGGGAGGGGTCGTGCGCTCTGGCAGCGGCGGCGACTTTGCTCTTTAAATTGGTCTCAAAGCCGATTACAGCTGATCTCCCACGTGATATTTCCCCTTCTGGCTCCTGGCGGAGTTTGGGGCGGGGAGGGGGGACCTGAAACAGCAGCAGGAAGAGGAGCAAGAAGGAGCCGGCGAGCCAGCTCGTGCTGGGAAGAAGCCCGCGAAAAAGCGCGCCTGGCAGAACTTTTTTTCCCCCTGGGCGAAAGGCGCGTGAGGGAGAGTCCTTCGCCAGCAGCGAGGGATGCGCAGGAAGCCCAGGGACAAACCGAGGAAGAGGCAGCAGCTCAGGGTCGAAGTGGAGGAGCAATAGCGCCCGGGAAGGCGGCGGCGGTGGCTGCACCACCTGAAGCAGCAGCAGCCGCCACAGCAGCAGCAGCGCCGGCGCGAGGGTCCTCATTGGCGCGCCACGACGGAGCGTGGCTGGCTCGGCTTGCCCCGCCCCGCCTCGGCCGTCGAGAGAAGCCGCGCTCACCATGAGACGCTTTGGCTGCCGCTCGACGCCGGGCTCGCTCTGAGGGGAAGGTTGACCAGGAGGCGCCCGGGACCCGGCGGCGGGTGGAGGCAACATGCAGAAGAGCGTGCGCTACAACGAGGGGCACGCCCTGTACCTGGCGGTGCTGGCTCGCAAGGAGGGCACCAAGCGCGGCTACCTGAGCAAGAAGACGGCGGAGACGAGCCGCTGGCACGACAAGTGGTTCGCGCTCTACCAGAACGTGCTCTTCTACTTCGAGAGCGAGCAGAGCGCCCGGCCCGCCGGCATGTACATGC